TTTGTAAAAGAGGTTAGAGGTCGTTCTGAATACAATATGGTAATTTTGTCCTAGGACCCTTCTTTTATCCCTACTCATTCTGAAATAAGTAGGATTATTTAATAATCTTTGTAAGATCGAAGTTCTATTTATTTCTGGCTAACCCAATCCATGTAACTTTTTATTTACATATATCTTAAGATATTTTGGATGGTATTAACTCTAAAATTAAAGATAATTTGTAAAACTTTATTTTCAAATAATATGAAAGTTTTTTGTTGCATGAATGCATCACAAACTTTGAAGGTCCATATATTGATGCATAGTTTGAGTGTCGTATTAGTGTAACATATACTGATCTTTACGGGTAACAATGGCAGACTTCCGCTTTTAGATTCACTAATGAGAATTTGTTCTACGTATTAATTGATAAATTTAAGATCAGTATAAAGTAATCAGGGCTTTTGATGCATCGGCATTTTTAAAAATGCACTTAATAAATAACTTATATTGCTATAAATATCATCACCATCATTAATTTTCGTACTCCAATTAGTGAATAAAAGACAAATTTAGTTAATTACACATTATTCATGCAAGATTTAAAGACATTACGACATTTTTAGTTAATTACACATTATTTATGTAATTTTTAAAGACATATTACGACATTTTTTATTTTTAAAATTTTTTATTTTTTATTTTGTTTGCGTTGCTTTCTTTTTGTGCCTTAACCTATTTCTTGCTTAAGAGTTTATCGTATACTTGTATAATCAAATATTACGTGAGAAATAATAATAAAATTTGCAGTACAAACAAAGCATGTGCATATTAAACTTCCCTGTATACATATCTTAAATATGACAGAACTGTTAAATGAAGAACTACCAAGCATACCATTACTTGAATATGTTACCAATATATTACCATCGACTTATAATTATATTATCTCTGATTTTCACCAACTTCCTGATTTTGTCACAGCAGAAGAATTTATAATCCATCAATTTGAATTAAATCTTTTCATAAATGCTAATGATGTTGATAGAGCACGACAGTGGTTTTTTGAGTTCGAAGAATTATCAAAAACAACAATGCCGGAGACCAAAGGATTTCAAATTAAAGGGTCCAAGGTTATATTCCGAGAATTGCGACATTGTATACATAGTGAAAAGGTAAAAAAAAAACAAGTGAACCCTTATTTAAAAAATTCACATTCATTACATGCTAGAAATACAAAGTGTATAGCTACAATACACCTTCGGCTTGAGCATTGGCATCTTCAAATAACTATTCACTAGAAGTTAACATTAAATTCATTCATAATCATGTAATTAACTCTGCCAAGTCGCTTAGTTTTAGACGTGTTAATGAAAAAGTTCATAATAAATATCTTGAACTTTTTGCAAGTGGACATTCACTAGCAACAGCTTTATATACTTACGAAGATTCTTTATATTTACATGCAGATAACAATCAAGAGCTAATGCAACTTTTAGCGGATCGTGCACAAAACCCAGACTATGGTTATGTTTTAAATTTGTTTAAAAAATATCGTAATGAACATCTTGGGGGACAAAATGGAGCATCAATGTTTCAACGACTTAAAGAAGAAGTTGATAATTACAATAACTCAAAAAGAGGTCATGCTCTACTTCAAGAATATAATTCACAATCATAGAATGCTTTTATTCTTTGTGTGGCTACAAACTTGATGCTCTGTGTACATGAAAAGATATGCCAAGCTAGTGAAATTTGCTATGTGGATGCATCAGCATCCTTTGAACCACTAAATACTTTAGTGACTTTGTTTTACACAAGTTGTATTATAGGCACATTGTCTCTTGGTCTTATCATAACATTTGATGAATCATAAGTAACTCTTGAAAGAGGAATGAGGCTCTTAAAAGAACTTTTTCCAAAGCATGCTTTCTCTGGCCGTAGACCTAGTATCGGGCCAATTGTTTTTCTTACGGATGATTCATATGCTAAATGAAATGCATTAGCAAATTGTTGGCCACAATCAAAACAGTTATTATGTATCTTTCATGTATTTCAAGCATTTTGGCATTGGTTGCATAATTCAAAGCATAATATAAATAAAGTTCATAGAAAGTTTATAATAGAAAATATGAAAAAAAAATATTGTATACCTGAACAGAAGTTGAAATATTAGAATATTGCCATGGACTTAAAGCTAATTACTATCATACATACCCCAATTACAAAGGCATTTTGAATTACTCTGAAAATGGCGTCAATTATGAGCGGTATCTTTTTGTTCAGGACTTCTTTTACGTGGCAATAACACTAATAACTATGTAGAATGCAGTTTTGGATTGTTGAAAGATATCATATTTGCACATACCCAAGCTTATAATATTGTTCAAGTCTTTCAATTTATTATTACAAGTATAGAACAGTTCTATGAATGTCGATTACTTGAAATAGCACACAGTCATTCCGGTTATTTAGAAATTGCTAGGCGATTTTTGTGCTGTGGCTAGGATACAATTAATATAGCAGAGATTCAACAATCTGATATTGAAAATGAATATTTAGTTCCTAGTGAGAAAAAGAATACTAATTTATCTTATATAGTTAATATTGAAATATGGACATGTACTTGCTTTGTTGGATTATCTGGAGCGCTGTGTAAGCACCAGGGTGCGGTAGCAGCAAAATATCATATTAGTTCACTAAATTTTCTTCAATTATTAACTCCTAATGATCGTGCTAATTTTGCATA